GGGAGTGGGGTGCAGGGAATGCGAATGTGGACATTGGGGATGGGAATGTGGTGCTGGGGACACAAATGTGGAGATTGGGGATGGGAATGTGGAGGTCAGGGATGGGAATGTGGTGCTGGGGATGGGAGTGTGGTGACTTGGGATGGGAATGTGGTGCTGGGAACACAAACGTGGAGATCGGGGATGGGAATGTGGTGATTGGGGATGGGAGTGTGGTGACTTGGGATGGGAATGGGGAGCCTGGGGATGGGAACGTGGTGACTTGGGATGGGAATGGGGAGCCTGGGGATGGGAACGTGGTGACTTGGGATGGGAATGGGGAGCCTGGGGATGGGAACGTGGTGACTTGGGATGGGAATGGGGAGCCTGGGGATGGGAACGTGGTGACTTGGGATGGGAATGGGGAGCCTGGGGATGGGAACGTGGTGACTTGGGATGGGAATGGGGAGCCTGGGGATGGGAACGTGGTGACTTGGGATGGGAATGGGGAGCCTGGGGATGGGAACGTGGTGACTTGGGATGGGAATGGGGAGCCTGGGGATGGGAACGTGGTGACTTGGGATGGGAATGGGGAGCCTGGGGATGGGAACGTGGTGACTTGGGATGGGAATGGGGAGCCTGGGGATGGGAACGTGGTGACTTGGGATGGGAATGGGGAGCCTGGGGATGGGAACGTGGTGACTTGGGATGGGAATGGGGAGCCTGGGGATGGGAACGTGGTGACTTGGGATGGGAATGGGGAGCCTGGGGATGGGAACGTGGTGACTTGGGATGGGAATGGGGAGCCTGGGGATGGGAACGTGGTGACTTGGGATGGGAATGGGGAGCCTGGGGATGGGAACGTGGTGACTTGGGATGGGAATGGGGAGCCTGGGGATGGGAACGTGGTGACTTGGGATGGGAATGGGGAGCCTGGGGATGGGAACGTGGTGACTTGGGATGGGAATGGGGAGCCTGGGGATGGGAACGTGGTGACTTGGGATGGGAATGGGGAGCCTGGGGATGGGAACGTGGTGACTTGGGATGGGAATGGGGAGCCTGGGGATGGGAACGTGGTGACTTGGGATGGGAATGGGGAGCCTGGGGATGGGAACGTGGTGACTTGGGATGGGAATGGGGAGCCTGGGGATGGGAACGTGGTGACTTGGGATGGGAATGGGGAGCCTGGGGATGGGAACGTGGTGACTTGGGATGGGAATGGGGAGCCTGGGGATGGGAACGTGGTGACTTGGGATGGGAATGGGGAGCCTGGGGATGGGAACGTGGTGACTTGGGATGGGAATGGGGAGCCTGGGGATGGGAACGTGGTGACTTGGGATGGGAATGGGGAGCCTGGGGATGGGAACGTGGTGACTTGGGATGGGAATGGGGAGCCTGGGGATGGGAACGTGGTGACTTGGGATGGGAATGGGGAGCCTGGGGATGGGAACGTGGTGACTTGGGATGGGAATGGGGAGCCTGGGGATGGGAACGTGGTGACTTGGGATGGGAATGGGGAGCCTGGGGATGGGAACGTGGTGACTTGGGATGGGAATGGGGAGCCTGGGGATGGGAACGTGGTGACTTGGGATGGGAATGGGGAGCCTGGGGATGGGAACGTGGTGACTTGGGATGGGAATGGGGAGCCTGGGGATGGGAACGTGGTGACTTGGGATGGGAATGGGGAGCCTGGGGATGGGAACGTGGTGACTTGGGATGGGAATGGGGAGCCTGGGGATGGGAACGTGGTGACTTGGGATGGGAATGGGGAGCCTGGGGATGGGAACGTGGTGACTTGGGATGGGAATGGGGAGCCTGGGGATGGGAACGTGGTGACTTGGGATGGGAATGGGGAGCCTGGGGATGGGAACGTGGTGATTGGGGATAGGAACGTGGTGCTGGGGACACAAATGTGGAGACTGGGGATGGGAATGTGGAGACTGGGGACACAAATGTGGAGATCGGGGACAGGAACGTGGTGCTGGGGACACAAATGTGGAGATCGGGGACGGGACCGTGGCGCTGGGGACACGAACGTGGCGCTGGGGACGGGAGGGTGGCACCCGGCGCTGCCTGCGCGGGACCCCCCAGAGCGGCCCCAG